CGGCTTATAGTCTACACCCGGGAGTCATAATCACTGAATTACAGCGAAATCTGTCGAAATTTCTCAAATATCTCCTCAGCTTCTTCACGGTGTCCATTGAAATGGGAGTCCAAACCACACTCTATTGCGCTCTCGAAGAAAGTCTTCAAAATGAGTCCGGATTTTACTACGAGTTAGTTATCACTCGTTATTACAATTTCTAAATAAATGACTAGTTTTTTAATAAATTAATTACAATTAATTTCTTTTTGCAGTGATTGCAGTCGTGTTAATCGTATGATATCTCAAGCAAGTGATGTCGAGTCGGCTAAAAAACTTTGGCAATTGAGCTCTGATTTAGTCAAACTTGAAGACAATCTTAATATTAATTAAATTAACCATTATAATTTGCAAACAGAATATAATTTTAACAGATTATATGTTAATTATTATTCTTGATAATAAAATAAATGAGTTTAAATTAAAGTTTAAATTAATTGATAAATAACGTGTGAAATACCGTAAGTTATCGTTTGAACACAACTTCAGAAAAGTTTGAATTTAGTCGAGAGATGATTGGAAACCGGTTTCCAATTCATACCTAAATATTCTTCAATAGACTCATCCATTCATATCATTTACAATCTGATCATTCATTTGATATAAACAAACAAAATATTAAAACAATGAATTTATTGGACTTTTTTAGTGAAATCAAAATAAAATTTATAATTTTATTCACTATTTTCGTTGAGTTATTCAAGAATATACTGAATATTAGAAGAAAATGTAGAAGCGATACAAGACTTGATGGAAAGGTAGTTGTGATAACCGGTGCCAACACTGGTATCGGCAAAGAGACGGCACGGGAACTGTCATTACGAGGCGCTAAGGTTTGTGTCCATAATCTGTCATTTGATTTGAACTTTGATTTGATTTCAAAGATAATAATTGGTTCGCGAGATGTGGACAGAGGAAAGAGAGCCGTTCAAGACATCCAACTCAAGAATCCAAAGGCAAACATAATTGTCATGAAATTGGATTTGTCTTCACTTTCATCGGTGCGACACTTCGCTAAAACAGTTTCCCGCGAAGTGTCCACTATTGACATCCTTATGAATAACGCCGGAGTGATGGCGTGTCCCGAGTCCACCACCGAAGAAGGCTTTGAGATGCAGTTCGGAACCAATCATTTGGGTATTACTTGTAATACAAGTCTTGATACAAGTCTTGTATTAAGTTTACAAACAATGAATAAAAGTAGAGAATTGAACCCAATTTCAGGCCATTATCTGCTGACCCTATCACTGATGCCTTTATTGAAGAAGTCGCCGAAAGCGAGGATAATAACCGTCTCATCGATAGCTCATATGTCGGGAAGCATTCACTTTGAAAACATAAATCTCCGAAACAAGGCGTACGACCCGATGACAGCCTACAGACAAAGCAAATTAGCGAATATACTCTTCACGCGACAAC